AGTCCCTCTTCTTATGAAGACCATTCCCTTTCTTCACCAACTCTAATTCTGTGCAGCTCAGCCCTGCTTGATATAAACTGGACCAGTACTTGGTCTTGAGGAACCTCTTTTAGTCATTCCCTGGATGGAGTGTTTGGTTCAGTGTGTGACTAGACTCTTCCTATTTGAAGTGTTAATAGACCACCAGTGAGTAGTATTTAGGATTTTTTTTTTTTAAAGGGAGTGGGGTCTAACATTCTTACATTCTTTTGGGGTTTTATTGTTATTATTTAGAAAAAGGGTGACTGAGGTATATAAGAAGGAAACCTATGGTTCTGATTTACTGAACTGTATGTTCTCAACAGTTTAATAAAATAAAACCCAAAGCTCTTAGGTTTTCCTCCGGGGTTAATACTAATACCGTGCACGTTCTCCACCAGCCCAGCTCCTATCCGTAGGTCATACTCTGGTTCAGAGACCTGGGGTGGGTAATAAGATTATAAAACATGCCTGTTGCTTGCCAGCTACCACATGCTAATAATAATAGTAGCCATAATTCACTAGAATCCAGGACTTTTAGGTTTTACTTGGCTTGTTTGTTTAAAGGAACAAAAAAATAAAATCTTGAGGAGAAACAAGGGGGCATTGCATAAATGAAAGAAAAATTGCATCCTTTCAGCAGAGCTGAACAGTGCCTTTTGTTTGTGAGCACCTTGTGTCCTTCAGAAGAACTTTGCTGTTTTAGCTGGAGGTGAGGATCTGAGCACAAGGGGGTAGTATTAGGTTAGTTTAAAGCAAGTTTTCTCAAGCTTGGCGCTGTCGACATGGCTGGACAGTTCTGTGTTGTGAGGCTGCTCTGTGCACGAGAGGATGGTCTCTGCTCACTGGAGGCCAGTAGCAACCCTCCCTGCAGTGTGACGATTAGAAGTGTCTCCAGAAGTTGCTAAATGTCCCCAGGGGACACGTTGCCCCCAACTGAGTACTGCTGGTTTAAAGTAAAACAGGACGTTTCAGAGGTTTCCTTATTTGCCTGTTTTTGTCTCTCAGCTAGAGTTGCAGCCTGTGGCTTTTTTTTTTTTAAGGTGTAAGAAAGTAAGAAGTGACCTTGAGTTTGTTCTCTGGACTTCCTGGGTGAATCACGAGTCAGTTTTAACTTCATGTTGCAGAGGTTTACGTGTGCAGTTAAAAATGCATTTAACCAGCTCTCTTGCTTATGTCCAGGTTGTCACATGAGTGGTTATTTGTAGATTATTCCTCTAGGAGCAGGTGAAGTGACTGGGGACCTCAGTAAGTTCACATTTGAATAACCTCAGGTGGAGTCTGACCCTTTGTATCTTTTCCTTCTTTTGCTGAGGTCTTTCATAGCTCAGTTTTCTGGGAATTCACTGGAAAAATCAAAAGTCTTGAGTTCAAAACCTATTTCCAAATAATCCTTGTTATTTGATGCTTTGTTTTTTAGTTTTTTTTTACATTGAAAGTTATTCTTAATCGGAAGATAATTGCTTTGCAGTGTTGTTCTGGCTTCTGCCATTCAGCATCATGCATCAGCCCTAAGTGTACACATGCTCACCCCCTCTCGAACCTCCCGCATCCCGTTCCACCCCTAGGTTGTCATCGAGTGCCGCGTTGAGCTCCCTGTGTGTTAGAGCAACTTCCCCGTAGCCTTGTGTTTTACATGTGGTGATATATATGATGCTTTCTGAAAACAGAAAGGGAATTAAGGAAAAACAAACATCTGAATGGATTTTGAAATTGTGTTTGTTTCCTGGTAAGATTTAGTTGAAAGGAAAAAAAGAATCCATGGTTTATCTGAATCTCTTTTCAAATAATATATACATTGGGATTGGCAGCAGTTGGTCAGTCTGTTTGTCAGACTTAACCTTTTGTAAGTTTTTACTTGATAACTGGGGATTTCATACTTCTCTGGGTGTGGGAAATACGTAGGTAATCCTAGAACACAGGTGTCACAGTGGATTTACCTGGAGAGCTTTGAAAAAACCCAGGGCCCAGGCCATATCCCAGACCATTGAAATCTGATGCTCTAGGGGTGGAACCAAGGCTTAGATGCTGGGTCTTCAGCCTCCCTGAATTCTAGTAGGAGTGAAGGTTGAGGACTAGGGTGCATTTCTATAAGTAACGTTTTACTGGAACATAGCCACGCCCATTCATTTACTGATTTTCTAGAGACCCCATGACTTGCAAAGCCTGAAGATATTTACTCTTTGGCCATTTACCAGAAAACACTTGCTGACTCCTGCTCTAGTGAAGATTTTTTTAAAAAGCTTTACAATAAAATTCGTAGTAAAAGAACAAGATCTGGTACTTTGCAGAGCCTTCAAGGTCAAGTCCCATCGGGTTTTTTAATGTATAATTTTATTTATTATTTTCGGCTGTGCTGGGTCTCGGTTGCTACATCCGGGCTTTCCTCTGGTTGTGGAGCTTGGGCTTCTCACTGCGGCGGCTGCTTTTCTCGCAGAGGATGGGCTCCACAGCTCAGGCTCCATAGTTGTGCACCGGCTTGGCTGCTCCAAGGCCCGAGGGGTCACCCCGAGCAGGGAGCCAACTCGTGTCTCCTGCATCGGCAGGCAGATGCTCTACCGCTGAGCCACCGGGGAAGCCCTGTCGGTTTTCTTGTACATGGGAGAAACAGAAAATCATTTTCCCTGAAGAGCCGACTGTAAGATAGTGTGAAACTGGTGCCCAGCTCACCACTCAGAGTGGGAGACTGCAGGGGTCACATGAGGGCACTGGACTTAAAAGTCTGCTCTGGTTTCTAACTCAGAGTTGGTTACTTAGGCTCTGTTTGACTTGACGGGGCTCGAGAGGCAAAGCTGGCTCTTTAATGTAAGGTGTTGAAGTCTGTTCCTCCCACTGCAGCAGCTCTAGGTGACAGCAGACCCCTGAAGGAGATCCTTTAGCTCTGGAGAATTGCATATATAAAAAGAGAGAAAAATTTAAATGCTTTCTACATCATCCCGCCTTTCCTCAGTTCAGGTAGAAAGCTGATGGCTGTAAACCATTGGTCTTCCTTTGATCACAGCCCCTATGGGCTGCAAGCAGGAGAGAAAGGATCCTTTATTTTAGTTCCCTGAGCAGAATTGGCACCTCCTGATTGAGATGCTGATTGAGAGCACGTCACTCTGGGAGGCGCCCCCCGCACTTAACTGAATCAGAGTCTACTTTTTAACCGAATCCCCAGGCTGTTTGAATACCCATGAAGAGCGCCCTGGGAGGCACTAGTCTTAATTGATAACTGTGTCCGTGCAGTCAGCTGACCATTGGTCCTCACTTTAAATCATTTCATGGCTCCTTACTGGTTTCTGACTTGGGAATAGCCAAAGGGGAAAAACTGTCTGTCCGCCTTTAATGGCTGAGTCCAAGTACGGCTTACCTGCCCTCTTATTTAGGAAAGATTTATATAATGGTAGAAAATGAAAATCAGGTGATAGAGTTGGAAGAAACACCATTTTATATGTATTAGAAAAGCAAACTAGAAAGGATAAAGGGAACTTGCCAGGTGAACTCCACTTGTGAGGAAAGAATCAAGTGGAGTGGGGTCTTTGCTTCTGCAAGAAGAAATAATCCACCCACATTAGAGCCAGCATCCTCTGGGGAGCAGTAGGGAGGTCAAAAATGAATGCCTGAAACTTCTCAGATTAGCACAGGGAGTTAGGCCTTTCCACCAAGCAAAGCCATAACGTTCAGCCGTACACATAGCCCTATATCACATAGGAAGTTGTCCAGAATTTAGATGTTCACAGAAAATCTTGAGGAAGCCCAGTACCTACTTTTATCCTACCAGATTCTGTCAAGTTAGTAGTATTTTCTTTATCATCTGTCTTTATAAAGATCTGATTGAAAAACATGATTTTTGAAATTAGTTTTTAATTCTTAAACAGAATTGGCTTATCCTTGAACAGTTGCAGATTGTTGACTTTTTAAATAAAAAGTTAATACCATCTGAATTTAGTTTTTTAAAGGCAATCTAAGTAATAAGAGTCTAGCTATTGGTCTGGCTGTTCTTGCTCTGTAGATCTGATCCTCCGGTTAGTGCTCACTGTCTGTACCAGCCAGGTCCGTGCAGGATTCAGAATAATTCCAGTGTTTGTGAAAGTGGCCAGGAAGAGCTAGAAAAGCAGGAATGGGAACCCTGGTTAAACCTGGTGGTTCCACCTCCTTAGATTTGAATGAGCGGTCAGGATGCTACAGGCACTGCTCCTTACCTAAAAGCTACTTGAGGCCCCCAAGGCAGAGTCTGATTGCCAGAAAAAATTGGGTCAGCTGAGTGTCAGCTGCCACTCCTGCCGGAAGAGCAGCATGTGCCTCCCTTCTGCCTTCCAGCTCTCATTTCATGTCCTGTTAGTGGAATCCAAATCACCTCCAGAAGCCTGGAGACAGGAGAGCCTGAGAGCCTCAGATCCCAGCCTTGGCTCTTTGCTAGAGGGAGAGCATAGGAGGGGGCGGGAATGGGCTCTGAGCGACAGCGTCCAGCGTGGCCTCATGTTGACGACACCAGCTGACTCTCACACAGGGTGTGCTTGTTTTTTTTAAAAAACATTCTTTTGATGTGAACACTGAACGATTAATCAAGCGTAAGATGCCAGTTTTACACACGAGGAGACATGTGAGGGAGTGAAATACTATTTCACATTTTAAATAACTTGTTCCTGATCAGACGTGCCGGTCAGTGTTACAGGGGGTTGTTTTGGTTCATAAGCAGCACTCTCTAATCTTTACTGCCCTGTTCTCTTTTGCACTTACTAGTGGAGCATCCTGTGACCAGTTGGCATTAGAGGGGTACTTTTGAGGGGACCCTGGGATAGAAAAGGCACTTCAGGCTGCACAATTCCAGTATTTCTAGATACTAGAAATAGTGCACTGGAGTCTGTGCACTGGAGGAGCATACTTACTCATGGGTGAGGACACTTCTAACTTTAAGAGATTATTCTGTTAAAGAATTGGGTAATTCTTGTAACATGTAACTGTGGTCTCAACATATTCCCTCTTTTTTTCTTAAGCAGATGAAAAACCCGGAGAACCGCCACGCAATGAGTTCCCAGTACAGGATGCATTCTTACTACCCGCCTCCTTCCTACCTGGGCCAGAGCATGTCCCAGATCTTCACTTTTGAGGAGAGCCCGTCTTACTCTGAAGCCAAAGCGAGCGGTAGGTTCCTGGTTACACAGTCTGGATTTGAGGTGGAGGGGATACCTGCTAGCACGGGGTCTCTGGTCCTCTCAAACAGCTTACCAATCAGCAGCAGTTGGAAAGGTTGTATAAGTATTCTTTAAAGTGCTTAGTTATGAAATGATTTTTGCTTTGGTTGATTCTCAGTATCATGTTTCTCTCTTTTGGACACAGAGCGGTAGGAATAAGATATAGAGACTCCGATCAGAAGCCAAAAATATATTTTCTGGAGGATCAGTATGTAATATCAGGGGCCCTTTAAATGTGGTTAAGTCCTGATATTTTTGGTGGAATGAATCTCTGTGTATTGAAGACTAGTTTTCCAAAACTTTTCCAATGTAAAAGTGAAGGTATATTCATCTTTTGCAGGAGGAAATAACATAATAAAACATTTTTTAATACAATAGATCTCAGAGTTTATGCAGTAGCAATGCAAATAACTCTGATATAATGGCTTGGAAATAATAAATGACTGCTTAACTGACAGAGCACTTTGAAATACACAATTCCTCAATTTCAATTTTAACTTTCTCCCCAGTGTTTACATTGTGATGATAGGTAAATCTTTTATGGCTGCTGTGTTCATGGTCCTATTTTTAAGTTCTTTGTATTTCAGCATCATGTTTTGATCTAGAAAAGTAAGGAGCAGTCACAGTTCAGGAAATCAGGGCAATAGTGAGTTGGGAGAGAAACCCACTATTAGAACTTAACTCTGTACTGGACAAAAGAAGCTGGTTTTCTGGATAGCTTGATTCTCTATAAAGAACTGGCTTCTTTGTAAAATGAGTATTTAGAGAATGAAAATTAGAACCATGCTTTGATTTCCAAATTCAAAACAGTGAAGTCTAGAAAAGCTGGAAAAGTTACTCTTTATTTTCCATACTAAAATAAAGGGTTTTGTTAGTATGGAGTACATAGTTTGGGGGGACTGACAGTGTGAACTATGGAGAGACTGAATCACACATTGTTGATTACTCTTTGATGTTTATTAATAATCACTTTTTTTCAGGAGTGGACAAGCACAATTCTGTTTTATAAATATTCATGCTATTTAATATTTGCCCATGTGGTCCTTTTTACACTCTGTTTGATTCTGTAATTTGAATTATAAGATCCTTAAGGACAGGGAACATCTTATATACCTTTTTAGCTGCTGTGATGTCTGTTTGTTATTCATAAGTTTGAGGGAATGAGTGAACAAAGGGATATGATTTGTAGTAAGTATGATTTGTAAGTAAGCTTGGTCTTTAAGAAGACACCATCCAAAAACAAAAGGTCAGATTCCTAACTCATTGTCTCAAGAAGCCAGGGCACAATTTCGGGATGAAGCAGTTAAAGAAATGTTTGTTCATATAGCAAATTAGGACTGAAACTTACTTTCGAGAAGAAATTGCCCAAGCTCTTTGCTCTAGGAATAATGGAATATTTTTAGAAGCACTGGCATTCTGGAGACAGGTGTAAATTCAGAGCAAGGCAGTAAGACAAAAAGATAAGAGGAAATTTATTAGAGCAGAGAGGAAGGAATCTGGAGAGGCACAGTAGACATTTGAATTTACGGCCGAAAAGGAAGAGACTCAGAAGGAGAGAGGTTACAGGGAGAAAAAGGAAAAAAAGGCCAGCCACCCTAGTGTCCATAGTGAGAGACTGGGTCAGTAACACCTGAAATTTCCTAGAACTTCTCTGGCGATATGTGTATTTGAAAGTCTGGTGTGAGGATACCTCAGGCATAACCTTCTGGTCCTTCTCTAACTCACTGATAATTAATCAGGAGGGGTAAGCTTCAGACCTGAGGGAAATAGCTAGGAAGAAATGCAATGGAATCTCAGCAATGTCTACTTTGAAATTGCCATGAAGAAGGAGAATATGAATTAATAGGAAATCCAAGCCTCAGATTATTTTTTAAAGAAATAACTTCCAAATATATGGTGTCTTGGGTTTCTACATTGCATGACACTTTTGCAGAGCACATGGGAAGGGACGGGGAAGGAAAAAGTTATGGATCAATAGGAACACCCCAGGATCATCTCCTGGGGTATCAGTTTTATCATCGGCACAGATACAAGTGGGGGCCATTTATGCCCTCTGGTGAGTGGGGTGAGGCTGGTGACAGGATGTGGGGACAGGGATGGGGCATCAAGATAGTCATTTGTGAGGAGGTGGTAGAGGCTGGCTGATTACCAGTTACATTTATCAGTTCTACCAGGTTTGGGTTGAGGTCCTATGGTGGGTTGCATTAGCAAATAATGATTTGTAAATGGTGTATCAATTATCCTATGTGGGGATTTATAAGTAATCTGAAAAACAGCTTTTTCAGTAGATTTAACGTTTTGCTTGAAAGTCTTAAGTATAAATTTATCCACTAACTCCATTTTTCTTTGGTTTCTTTAAGTTTAAACCTCTCTTTGCTAGCTAAAGAAATGTGTCCAAGTTCCAGGTTTTCTTATGGCTTTGTTGAAGATTGTAACATGAAAATGAAAGGTAGAGAGGGAAGGAATTACAGGGGAAGTTTTACTTTTGCTGTGTTGCTTCTGTTTAATGTTTTTCTTTGCCAAAAGGCTAGGATCCATTCTGTCTGCTTCTATGTCCTGAGAAGTATGAGGACATAGGTCAGAAATGGTGAGGCCTTGGTGTGTAAGACTTGGTGAGGCGTTGCAGGGACTTTGGCTTTTATCTCAAGTAGATGAGAAGCCCCTGGAGGGTTTCCAGCAAAGGGGTGACATGTCTGCTTGTGGTTTTTAAAGATCACTCTGGCTCTTGTTTAAGAACAGACTGTAGGGGTGCATGGTAAAGGCAGGGAGACCAGCTGGAAGGCTATTGCAGTAATTCTTGCAAAAGACGGCAGTGGCTTAGTCGGGGTGGGAGTGTGGGAGGGTTGAATTCTAGGTACATTTTGAAGATAGAAAGAAAAGATTTGGCGATGTATTTGGGATGTGACATAAAGGGAGAAGTGAAGGATAACTAATTTTTGATCTAATCAAGTAGGAACTTGAGGTTTCCACTTACTCTCGGGTAAAGAAGTCCATGGGAAAAACACATTTGCAGGAATTAGGAGGTTAATTGTGCACATGTTAAGTGCGTTTCCCTGGTGGCTCAGACGGTTAAAAAAAGTCTGCCTGCAATGCAGGAGACCTGGGTTTAATCCCTGGGTCGGGAAGGTCCCCTGGAGAAGAGAGTGCCTGCCCACTCCAGTATCCTTGCCTAGAGAATCCCCCAGAAAGAGGAGCCTGGGAGGCTCCAGTCCATGGGGTCGAAAAGAGTTAGACACAGCTGAGCGACTTGCACTCAAGTGTGAGATGTACGTAACTCATCCAAGTGGATCATAAAGTTAGGGGTTGGATGAATGAAGTCTGAGGTTGAGGGCAAGTATCACTGCTGGAAATAAAACTTGAGAGTTCAGTGTGTAGGTGTATTTGAAGTTAATATGGTAGGATCACCTGGAGAAGTGAGTGTAGACAAAGAATAGAGGACCGAGGCTTGAGCTCTGAGGCCTTCCAACGTTGAGAGGTTTGGTAGATGAACAGGACCAGCAGAGGGTAGAGTCAGGTAGGTACCTTCTCCTACCCGTGAGTTAGGATGAAGGTATCTTGGGAGGCAGGGAAAGAAAGCATTTCAATGAACCAGCTAAATAATGATGGTAGATAAGTTGAGATGAGAACTGGAATTGACCATGGGCTGTTGAAAGGTAGAAATGATCAGGATGATCAGTGGCTTGATGTGTGGCCAGTGTGGTGTGGAGGTGGGGACCAAAGCCTGACTGTGCGTTCAAGGACACAGGGGAGAGAAGCGTCCAGGCGGTGAGTGTAAACCGCTCCGAAAGGAGTCTTACTGGGAGGGGAGCAGTACCTGGGAGCTTACTGGGAGAAGCAGTGTGTTCAAGGAAAGTCCTTTCTTCTTTTTTAAAGAAGGAGGTTATTATAAAGATAAGCTGGTGTAGGGTATGTTGAGAGGGGGGCCACAACTGTCCAGGATGATAGCAGTGACTCTTGAGTAAGCAAGGTTGGGGGGGATCCCCAAGGACACCCCCTCGTAGGGCAGCAGTCCCCAAGCTAGGGGCTGGGCGTGTTTTGTCACTGGTCTAAGAGGAGATCAGTGAAGGAATTAAGAGTAAACAAAACCTTTACAGCAGCTTGACAAAACAGTTCTATCTATTGAACAATAAAAAATTGGGGCTGGTAGTTTTTGCCTTTCACTTTTCTAGTAATTCATTTTTACATTGGAGTAAAATCCACCTGACGTAAAATTAACCACTAACCATCTTCAAGTGTACACTTCAGTGGCATTTAGTAGGTCACAGGATTGGCCACATTACCTGTCTAGTTTCAAGTCATTTCATTCACACCACAGGGAAACCCCATACCCGTGAAACCATCACTGTGTTATTCTCCATTCCACTGTCCCTGTTAACCACTAGTCTGCTTTCTTGTTTCAATGGATTTACCTATTCAAGATGTTTTGCGTGAATGGAAGTATAATATGTGGCCTTTTGAACTGTCTTCTTTCACTTAGCATAATTTTTTCAAAGCTCATACAAGTTGTAGCATGTATCAGTACATCATTCCTTAGTATAGCCTAATTATATATTTGGATATACTGTATTTTGTTTATCTGTTAATGGATATTTGAGTTGTTTCCACTCTTTTTTGGCTGTTGTTAATAGTACCGCTATGGATATTCACATACAAGTCTTTGTTTGAAGATTTGTTTTTAGTTCTTCTGGGCATATATTCCCAGGAGTGGAATTGCTGGATCATATGGTAATTCTGTGTTTAATTTTTTGAAGAGCCTCCAGACTGTTCCCTACAGTGGCGATACCACTTCACATTCCCACCACAGTGTATGAGGGTTCCAGTTTCTCTAGCTAAATAACACACTATTTTCCATTTTTTGCATTATGATTCTAGAAATTAACTTTAATTGTATTTTATAAAAGCATCAGATTGTGTCAGACTGGAAGCTGAAAAAAGGATTTCAACAAAACA